CGATTGTCAAGCAGAAATAGTGTTGGATTTCATCGTATACACTGGTCCATCTACGGATATTGATCTAGGCCAAGCTTCGGAAAAATCTGGTTCCATAGTAATGACTTTGATGGAACCCTAGTTGAAAAAGGGACACTCACTTTTTCTCGATGACTGGTAGACCAGTCCTCGTTTATTTGAAAAATTATATAACTCAAGACTGGTGCATGTGATACTGTACGTCGAAACCGTATTGGTTCAGTCAAAGTAGACAAGCTCACAAAAGGTGATTTTGACTACAGCAGCAGAAATAATCTAATGGTTTTGAAGTGGCAAGATAAACGAGAAGTCCTTACACTATGTACAGTTCACAAGCCGAGGATGATAGAAACACAACAAATAGTTGAGAAACCGGAATGCATCGTACATTACAACAAAAACATGGTGTCAGTGGATAAAACTGACATGCAAATCAGTTTTGTAGAATGCTTACGAAAAACTATTAAATGGTATAAAAAATTCTTCTTTCGTCTGTTGGATTTATCAACGTGCAACGCATATATGTTATTCAAAACGAAGCATAAAAAGTCTATTGGTTTTGGAGATTTTCGAAGTGCACTTATTCCACAATTGATCGAAAGGTATTCTCAACCAAGACCTATATATGGTCGTCCTATTACCAGTGATAATCCCGTATGTCTTACTGGTCGTCATTTCTCATCGCTTGTTCCAGCAATACAAGAAAGTCCACAAAGATATTGTATAGTTTGCAGTCGCACAAGTAGACGTGAGAAGAAGCGTAAAAAAACACGTTATCAGTGTGATATTTGTGACGTTGAACTTTGTGTGATAGGTTGTTTTGGAGATTATCATACTTTAAAACACTTTGGAACACTTTCCTGTGCTATCGAAACTCATTATAAACTATTTCAGAACGAAAAATAAAAGATGTATCTGCATAAAAAAAACCGTAACCAAAGGGTTAATAATAAATTTCACCAAGAAAAATAATCTAGTCGTGTTCTTCACAAAGATGTCGACATTGGCTGATGTTTCAAACAACAAATCCTCTGTCCTTTAATTCGATTGATGTAACACATTGGTATAATTAGGTTTATCTTTCTCATTCAAGTGTCTATCGCTATTCATACGTGAAGAGAGAGAGAACACACTCGTTGTCTATAGAACACGAAAAACATCGATTCATTGGTTAGCGTATGCCTCGGTTCGTTTTTTCGTTTTTACATTATTGAGATAATTTATGCATCAGTGCTCTTTATATTCAAAGGAAAAAGAATAGTCGTTTGGTGACGTCCTTTCATTTGCCTTTGCTTCATTATAAACATTCATTTTTTCTCAGCTTTATTCGAGTCGGCGACAATAAAAACAATAGCGTATGCAGCTTTTATGCTAGAATATTGCCACCTTAATACGAAAAGATAAAACATGATCAATGCGCAACAATCATTTCTTTTCACATTATTCATTTCCATTCCGATTACGTGGATTCTGTATTTCAATCTATCATTTCTTTCTCAACATCTAGTTCACCTGCAAAGACAAATGGTAATCAGCAAAATACCGTCCTACGTCGATCCTCGATATTTTCCGTTAACAATCCAGCATGTTCTTCATGACGGCAGTGATTGCATCTACTATGACAACAAAAATGGTCTCTTTCATCCAAAGACAAAACATCCACGCTTCATCGTCACTGGAGGTGCTGGCTTCATCGGCAGCCATCTCGTTAAACGACTCACACAACAATACCATCCCACTCAAATCAAAGTCTTGGATAATCTCTCACACGGTCGACTTCACAATCTCCAATATGACGACGGCACATGGCCTATCTCTACCATTCGTGACTTCTGTTTCGTCGATCTTCGAAATATTCACGTGGCTCTCAAATATGTCACAGGAGCAGACACTGTCTTTCATCTGGCTAAAGTATCCTCCACTTCGAATCATTCGTCTGCATTCTATGAAACAGCTCTTGTCAAGATCAACGTCATGTACGCAGTGAAAGTCAACACAATCGCTAACCTCGTGTTGACCGAAGGTGGCTGGTCAACGAAGTCAAACTCGTCAGTGCCTTTGAGTGAGCAGATGAAACAATACGAAAACGACCTAGTACACTCTCATGAGTTCAACATTGGAGTGGTGCGTTTAGAGAGCGTGTATGGTCCCAACTGTGACTTTACTGATCTCAATGAACAGATAGTCGGTTGGCTGATAGCAAAAGGGTTGAGCGCAGACAAGGATTCATTGACACGGTGGAGCGTAAGAGAAGAATACCGTGACCTGATCTATGTTGATGACGCAGTGGACGGTCTGATGTTGGTGTACGAAGAAGGAATGAACAAGGGTGTGTTGGATGTTAGAAGTGGTAAAAGAACGAGCACGAAAGAGCTTGTTCAGATGATCGGAAACGTATCAGAAGAAAAGCTAGGAAGAAGGGTGACGGGTAGATACGAGTTTACGTCAGGTGAAAGTGATGAAGAGTCGCACGATGATGGGAAGAGCATTCTGAGATGGAGACCGAAGGTGAAGTTAGAAGACGGTATTTGGAGGACGATGCGTTGGATAGATAAAAACCATCGCAAACCAAAAGTACTTGTCATCACGCTTGGTCAGTTGCGTGGCGGACCTCTAGCGTGGAAATCCCTGCACAAATTCCTCTTACGACCATACAATGCTCATTTAGCATTGCATATATCAAATTTCACAAGCAGAACATACTTACATGACATAGCACAGTACATTTGGATGGAGGAAGAACACAAAGATTGGGGTGTCGTTCTGCAGCTGGTATCTGAAACATGTGGGAATGCAGAAATCGTAGGAAAATGGAGAAATTATTGCAACATTCCGGGATTATTCATGGGTGGTATTGCAAACTGTAAGCATAGGTCGCATACATCAGTTTCATTTGCATTCAGATGGATGTTACAACAAAAGATCAATAAACTTCAGTTGCTCGACAAATATGATTGGTTTATTTTGACTCGAGCTGATGAGCTACATTTATGTGAACATTTTGATTTCACTAGTACGACGGACAGTAACATTTTATTGCCTACTGGTGAACATTACAATGGTTGGTCGGATCGTCATTTAATTGCTCGTTCGTCTATGTTTATGAAGGTGATCAATATCACGAATGAGTTAGTCTGTAGACCTGATTACTGGCTGAACAAACTGGAAGAAATTGATTATGAACTAAATATTGAAGTGGTGCAGAAGCTGATCTGGGACGACATGGGCCTAACTGTTACAGAACATCCGAGATCCATATTTATTGTTAGAAATAGTGGTGATCCTGCATCATGGTCTCGAGGTAGATCTCATCCGGAACTCAGCCGCTTTGATCTGAAAGTGAAGTATCCAAGAGAATTAAAGTCATCGAAAATATACTGTAAAATTCGAAATATTACATCTGTGATGGAATCTATTCGTGAATACAATTAATCAACGAAAATTATATTATTTTTCAAGTATATTAAGAAATATGTTAATCTATTACACAATGGTGCGAAGAGGAAAAGTAATTTCATAAATTGTTGTGAAATACACATAGAAGTGGATATAGTATAATGTGGTAACCCATTAGGTTTATTTTCCCTTTTTTTGTCATTATGAATGATATATATTTGTTTTTGTGTGATGTAAAAATTAAGAATGAATAACAAGTAACTGATATGTTTGCTATATTCCATTTATTTGCGTCATCATATTATCTTACCAATTAGAGAATCATTTTCCTCTCGTTCGTTTTCTTAACCCTCATACTACCAGCCTGGGTCATTTTTGTCCATTCTGTTGAGGGGGTATACAGGAACGAAATATGGCTGGTAGTACAAGGGTTAAAATCGTTATGGTCAAAAGAAATTAGCAAATTATGGTAATTTGGTTCTAGGCTTCCGTTCGACTAATATTTCCTCTAAAACCTATGTCAGTTATGGTATTACTCGATGAAAGCATTGTATACGAAAAATATTCATATATAGAAATATACATGTATCTTATCAAGCCTTCTATTACATAGCACGCTTGATTGATTTATGTAAACAAACACTACTTGGAAAAAACCAACTGACGTCATTGAATATATATAATCGATGTGAAGCTAACATCATGATAATAGCTTCACATCGACATATAAGTAAGTAAGATAGTCTGGCTCTAAGAGCAATTAAAAACAAGTAACGCTCGCCGAGGTCGACTCACTACGCCCTCGACTGATTCACTTTTAATTCGTCTCTTGTCATAAGACCCCTTCAAAAGATGTATCAATACACTCATCACGCAGTCGGTCATCGGAGCCCCTTCGGTTCGCCACTCCCGACTGCTCGATATTGTTTATAGCATATACACGTCCTCAGATGGCACTCGCCTTCCTCTCCGACATTTCACACACAAGTTAACTGCTTCAACTAAATCTATACCAAGAAAGCTTTCAGCTGGAGCTTGTCTTTTGTTTACTAGACATTATAAGAGGAAATTCACCCTGATACTCATCTATAGGGTCATACGACAAAAGCATCTAAGATATTCAGTGCCTGATTCATGCATCCTAGACACATACCTAATTTCTCAGCCTTACATCGCGTGATACCTGATTGGTCAGTTTTGTAATCTACGATAGCTACCGATCAGACTCAGCTATCTCCCCATGTTATTCGTGAAGTTTCTGTTAATATTGGTCTTGAATCATGATGCAAGCACACACCATTCCAACGATCTTTTCTCATACGATTCTCCCTTCGCACGAAAGAACATCTAATTAGTCCTCGTACCACTCCTCAATACACTATTGATATAGTCAAATTAGAGATTTAGTAAATTTCGAGCTAAGGCAGTACGGCATATCTCTTGGATATACAAGCGTTGTTCGGTCAATGGTTGAACCCATTTCAAACGATTTTTTTTAAATTAAAGCATTTCGGAAAAGGGGGAGTGTTTTTTACCTTNTGGATGTTAGAAGTGGTAAAAGAACGAGCACGAAAGAGCTTGTTCAGATGATCGGAAACGTATCAGAAGAAAAGCTAGGAAGAAGGGTGACGGGTAGATACGAGTTTACGTCAGGTGAAAGCGATGAAGAGTCGCACGATGATGGGAAGAGCATTCTGAGATGGAGACCGAAGGTGAAGTTAGAAGATGGTATTTGGAGGACGATGTCTTGGATAGGTGAAAATCAAAACAAACCAAGAGTACTCGTAACTATATTTGGTCAAGCTCGTGGTGGACGTCTTGCATGGAATTCTTTACATAAATTTTTCTTGCGCCCCTTTAATGCTCATTTAGCATGGTATACAACTCAGGTAGAAACCAGCTCATATCTACATGAGAGGGTGCAATATCTTTGGATGGAACCGAACCATGATGAATGGGATTTTGTCTATGAGATGGCAGCGAAAGCATGTAATGACGTGAAAGTCATTGGGAAATGGAGAAATTATTGCAACATTCCGGGATTATTCATGGGTGGTGTTGCAAACTGTGCGCACGGTTCGCGTACAGCTGTATTATTTGGATTACGATGGTTGTTACAACAAAAGATCAATAAACTTCAGTTGTTCGACAAATATGATTGGTTTATTTGGACTCGAGCTGATGAACTACATTTATGTGAACATTTTGATTTCACCACTATGACGGACAGTGACATTTTATTGCCCACTGGTGAACACTACAATGGTTGGTCGGATCGTCATTTAATTGCTCGTTCGTCTATGTTTATGAAGGTGATCAATATCACGAATGAATTAGTTTGTAGACCTGACTACTGGTTGGAAAAAGTGGCAGAAGTTCAGTATGAACGAAACATTGAAGTGATACAAAAACTGATATGGAACGACATGGGCTTGACTGTCTCAGAATTTTCAAGATCCATGTTTACTGTCAGATCGGAAGGTGACCCAACGTCATGGTCACGAGGTGAATTCGATCCAGATCTGAACTTGTTCGGCCTGAAGGTGAAGTATCCGAAAGAATTTACATCAGCCAAAGCGCATTGTAGTAACACGAGCTTGAAGGGTGCGTTGGAATCTCTTCGTCACTATGACTGGAAAGTTGTAAAGCAGGTTTTATTTTGAAAACTATGAAATAAAGAAGCTATTCAACCATTAATATTTACTAATTCCTAAGACGCAATGGTGAGTGACGAAACTGAAATGCCTTCAGACAGTCGAATTACTCGGATTTTTATTTAAAGATCGTTTCTATGCGCAAGATCAGAAAATACAACAACCATATATACCATTCACCTAGAAATGTTTTGTTGAATAACGATCACGGACCGAGATTGCGACATGAGCCAAAGGTCACAACGACCATACAGCTTGCCATTTTGATCGATACCACCATTTAATAACAACAAGTAGAAGTGAAAATCTTTTCCTTCTATACATCATTTAAAAAATGTTGTGATCTTTCATGCTGATACGACCACTTTGAATGAATGAAAGACAGTGATTAAAATAGCAACGACAAACTCGTTGCTTCCTACTCGCAAGCTGTGTCATTTTGGCTTGATCATTCCAATAAAAAGTCGTCAACAAGAATTTCGTCGTACAGTTGCAATACCCGTGAAAAACCGAGATTCTAAACAAAACTTTTTTAATAATAAATTTCACCAAGAAAAACAATCTGGTTGTGTTCTTAACAAAGACGTTGCTATTGCTTGATGTTTCAAACAGCAATTACTCTGTCCTTTAATTCGATTAATGTAACACATTAGCATAATTAGGTCTATCTTTCTCATTCAAAAAAGATCTCGATATGTCTATAAAACACGAAATACATCGATTCATTGGTTAACATATACTTCTGTTCGTTTCTCCATTTTTACATTCTTGAGATAATTTATGCATCACTGCTCTTTATATTCAAAGGAAAGAATAATCATCGGCTGACGTCCTTCCATGTGGCTTTGATTCATTATAAACATTCATTTTTTCTCATTTCTATTCCAGTCCGCGAGAATAAAAACAATAAAATATGCAGCTTTTATGCTAGGATATTGCCATCTTGATACGAAAAGATAAAACATGATCAATGCACAGCGATCATGTCTTTTGACATTATTCGTTTCCATTCCTATTACATGGATTCTGTATTTCAATTCATCAACTTATTCTCAATATCTACTTCTTCTGCACGGACAAATGGTAATCAACACAATACCGTCATATGTCGATCCTCGATATTTTTCGTTAACAAACCAGCATGTTCTTCATGACGGCAGTGATTGCATCTACTATGACAACAAAAATGGTCTCTTTCATCCAAAGACAAAACATCCACGCTTCATCGTCACTGGAGGTGCTGGCTTCATCGGCAGCCGTCTCGTTAAACGACTCACACAACAATACCATCCCACTCAAATCAAAGTCTTGGACAATCTCTCACACGGTCGACTTCACAATCTCCAATATGACGACGGCACATGGCCTATCTCTACCATTCGTGACTTCTGTTTCGTCGATCTTCGAAATA